TGTCTGGGTATGGGAGGTGTCTGGGTATGAGAGGTGTCTGGCTATGGAATGTTGATGAAGATAAGTATCTTACATTTTTTCTGCTTTCAATGGCCTGTTGAGTCCATAGTAATTCCATTGCTATCTGTTCTCTCTTTTGCTGTAAATCCTTGTCACTAATTGTAGTGTCATCACTAACAGCATCTTAGTTGAAAAGAAACCATTAAAACCATTAGTACTGTCTTAATCACTCGACGACGGCAACCATACAACAGCACTAATTGTGCTATTCAATAGATACTCGTTGCAATGTACGAAATACTGTGCATCATTGCCGTCCTATGCTGAAAGTAAGACGTGAAATGTCCTACTTTTATGTACTAAAGAGAACGGCTACGCCAAGAGCTTATCTTTGCTGATTTTTGTTTTAAGCGAAGGGATCCCAAAAGACTTCATTTCACTGTAAAATGGGTATGCTTATTGAGTAAGATACTAGGTAAACACGAAATAATAATACAATAGAAGGTTAAAGCGCCTCAATTTCGCCAACATTGTTGCCTACGTTGCCGTCCTACAGCTTAAGGTCCCTAATGTCTCTGGGCCCAGTTGTCTGATAGCACTATCCACTTCGTATAACTGGGCCCTGTAGTTGCTAAACAAAGGGTGATTTTTTCTCTCACCATACATTTAGCAGTTGATTGAAAATAGCAAAAATTATATCCATCAAAGTGTGATAAGTTTTACCAAAGGATTTGTCTGTCATCCAACTATCTGTCAGTAAAGGATGTCTTCTTGGTACTATGCCATCAGTCTGTTCTGTGTCTCCTGAGGAAACTGGAGTACTGTGCTGTTTATATATTTGTTTATTGACAAAATGTGGTAAATCAATAGTCATGTTTCCTTGTCCATTGTCTTCGCCTGATCCAGGATCTAGATTATTATCTAAAGAGGCTGGTTTGACAGAATTTGTAGGATTTTTTTCTTCACAAGGAAATGCTTCATCAAAGTTTTGTTCTAAGTTTCTCTTTACTTTGTCATGGACAAAGTCATCAGATATTCCTGAAGTACCTCCAAGCCTCTCTTGATTATCTGTTGTTGGATGTAAGGCTGATATGTCATCTATTTTATCACAAACATCTTGTGTCAATGTTCTGTCTTCAACATCGTTGCCATCATCCTCATCATGTAAAGGCTTATTGTCCTGTATTTTTACTTCATTTGTAACACACAAAGGTAAAGATATAGCTTGTTTGTTTGAAGGCCACACGACATGAAAATCATGTCCATCCAGCTCATGTACAATTTCTTCAAACTCTTTCTGCACTTGTTTTAGCTTTGATCTTATTGTATATCCTCTGAAATAACACTGTTCAAAAAAAGAAAAGATTTTTAAAAAGGGGTCAAATTCAAGACGTTCAAAATCGCAAAGAAACTCATGTTTCGTTAAAAAAATCMTTCAATACAGAGTTCACATGTTTCTTTTTTCTCTCTATCAGGCTCCTGGGTAATACTTTGTTTGGGAGGTGAACATATTTATATTTCTACCTGCAGACAAGTGGCAGCTACTTCCCTTCGTCTTGTCAAATCTGCCGCCATTTTGATTCTTGAACTGCGCAGAATCATCATGCATTACCGCTGATAGGTACCAATCGCGGATGCACAAACATGTCTTGAAAGTAACAGATTGATTAGTTTCATAATAACCTTTATTTATTGTACTCTTGCAAGGTGACAGTAACCTTGACACACGTAAATGGCCGCAGTTAGCAATATTAGTAAAGGAATTAAGAAGTATGAATGTAAGTAAGCTTATATTGAAAATACCTTTAGTGTTTCATCATGTACTGTATATAGTAAGTTTATTGATATATTTTATATTAATCTATTGAGTTGTCTTTAGTCTTGTATGCAAATGGTTTCCCTCCAAAAAGTTCACTATACCAACAGATAATACTGGCTTTAGGGCCTTCACAACCGTTAACATGACTTGGGTTTTTACAAATGATGTTGATGTTATACATTTCAGGGGCAGTGCACAGTGCTTTATATCTTTTCAATGGTTTTTCATAATTATCTATTAATGAATTTTAATTCTGATTTTAGATCTTGACCACACTGCTGATGTACAGTAAGTATAATTGATATTTTCAGGATAGAAACAGCCATGTGTGTTTGCCTCTCAGGTAGACTGTAATTATAAACAGTCTATCTCTTTCCTTCAAAGTCAGTCGAGTCATTTCTTCTGTTTTTGAGTGGGAATGAGTTTGAAGTGGCATGTGTGCTGCTTCACCCAACCCAACTCCACAACCCTAAGGCATATCTTGACTCGACCGCATTTGGAGGGAAAAGATAGCTAGGGACTGTGTTAACTGAGTCTCTCTCATCAGGGGATAGGTGAAAAAATAAAGGAATTTCTTGCCATTCCATTATTTTTACCATTATGAAAGACTTTTTTTATGATTTCTCTCAACACCTCCCCCCCTTACAAATAATGAATGGTTTTTATAGAGTATATTTTAATTGAAGTTTTTTTTTTCTTCTTTTTTTGCAGACTCCATGCATGTATCCTTTACCTTAGATTATACCCTCTTATTGTTATCTCAAAATCAATCGTATGGATAATATTGTAGTATTTTGCATTTTTTTGTCATACCTATCTATGGCCCCGTCCACACGTATCTGGAAATTTTTGTATCTGCAAATTTATTTTTCAGATACAAAAATGTTGCGTCCACACGCAGCGTATTCGAATAGTTTTCGAATCGTTTTCAATGTCCACACGTATCCGGAAATTTCTTGATCCGCTCTGATGCACGCTAGTGCCTAATCCCTTTGACGGATAGTTTTTCTTATTGAGCATGCGCAAAATCATGTTTACGTCATCGTATTCGAAATTTTCCACTCTGGAGACCATATCCAAAAAAAAAAAATTTGTGGATACAAAAATTTCTGGATACCTGTGGACAGGGCCTATATCTAACTATCCTTAACATTGTACTCAGGGGGTGATGATTTAAAGGAAGCTTTTGAGCAGGTATAAATTTATAAAGAAATCAAAAATCAAGGTTATTTAAAGTGATCAACAAAGCCTATACCCGCTGGACAGGGCAATGGCCAAAATTTTTTATGAGATTCAAAAGGGCCAAAGAAGGAAAACCTTTTGGGAAAGAAAATATATCGCCATCTTTAAAATTGGAGAAATAGAAATTTATATGCATGCTGTGTGCCGTCATAAAGCAGGTGGGGTTGGTAGAACACAAGAGAAAATGTTTCATTTAAGAAAGCAAGTTTTAGCCTCCTCGCAGGCATCTCCTTGGCTTTTTTTGCTCCTCAGGCATCCTGTCGTGAGGACAAAAAAAGACCCTCTCACTCCTCTCTCATCCCTAGTTCTTCTCTGGCATATAATTTAACACAGGGATCTCAACAGAGAATATATGGAGTAGCCTGTGGTGAAGGCTATATATAAATGCAAGTCCAACCATTTTTTTAATGCAGGCTGTAGTAGCAATGTTTGGTTACATGACAGAAATTGAAAAAGTGGACATTGAAGAAGAGAAAACAATTGAAGCCGAGGGTAAAAACTGTGGATTAATTTGTTTTATCTGAATATATAAATATRAGGAATCTGTCCTCATCGGTCTGCAGTACAAATAGATGTAGTATATAGAGCAGATCTGGCGGAGCTCTAAAAAGGACCATAAGAAAGCAATAAAAAGGGAGAAGGGTGGGAAATAAGAAAGTAAAAAGAGCAACTGCAGGTTTGGGGAGCGTGACAGCGAGGCCACAAGAAAATAGCTGGATACTGTACAGTTTTAGCTTATTGTATTTGTGTGCGAATAAACTTGAAACTTKAAACTTTAGCTGGTTTGAAGTGAGATGACCAATATGCTAATCAGTTCTCAAACATTTATACTAGTGAGGCTGCTGAGAATATAGGTTTTGAGCAAAACTATTTGCCTATTCACAGGTGATGATATGATATCACTTTTATTTCACTTCTTGGATGAGTCTTTGTTTTTGATGTGTGATGATCCATATTTCATTGTTAAGGTAATGTAATGTAATGATATTATTGATTGTACTTATATTTAATATCTTGAGTTTTACATCCTCATTCGAAACCAAATAATTCATTTTTCTTACACTGCTATCTTGAATGACACAAAGGTGTGTTTAATGAAGAAATTGTTTCATTGCATCATTATGGTCTTAAGATAGATCTGCATATGATTAGTACATTTATGCAAAGGGACTAAAAAGGTGATGATGATGATGATGATGATGTTATAAGTTAGAGCTAATTATCATTAGATGTTTTCATTACATTTTTTAAATATTAATTTGACATATTTTTTGTTTTAGGAAGTTGAAATTACTGAATTTGACAAGGAAAATTTTAAAATAAAAGCTGTTGAGTGAGTACAAGTGATAATGTTGTGTAGCATCAAACACTATTATATACTATTATATTATTTATGTTGTGTTATTTTTTTAGGAGAGGGGAAGACTTTGACCTTAAAAAGCATCCCCAGGTAATATTTTTTTGGGGGAGGGGAGGTTGCATGCAGATGGCCTCTACCTTTTCCCCCAGATATAGCAATTAGCTTGTTAGCATCATCTTCAGATGATTCACTTTCTCACTGGTTGTGTATTTTATTTTCAGGGCACAGAGGTRAAAGCAATAACATATTCAAATATGCAAATATATGATAATGAAGAGAAGCATGAAGTGTTTGTAATTATTGATATTTAGCACCAAAATATACTCACATGCAAACATGCACTGAAACTTTAATTTAACAATACAATGCAGATATTTTGACAATAAAAAGTTCTTCCATTGKCTTAAGGCCTTTGTAGATAAAAATCCTTTGACTGAAGGCAAATACAAACACATTTTTATGAAATAAGTTTTGTAAATTTTATTTGTTTATTATTTTTAAACTTAACCTTAATAAAATATCATTTTGAAAAGTTGTATGGTCAATAATATTATTATCAAGTCGTTCAAGGTTTCCTTCAGCACTCTATGGAAAGAGAAAGAGCTTGAAGCATCAGCACACTTTCAAGTGTATATTAGCTGTTATATTAGCTGTGGGTTTTAGCTTGACGTTTGAATTGATGTACTAGATACGCAAAACAGAGTAAAGGAAACGAACAAACTCCTACAAACTGCAAGATGTATCGTTTATTGATATCTCCGGTGTCTCGGCAATGTCTCGGCAACATATTCGTGTTTTATTCGTATCCTATTCGTGTTACGAACGAATAGTAACAGCGCGYGCATCTTTAGAAAAGACGCGGGAAAAAAGAAGCACGTGAGATGACAAGACTGATAACAACATGGCGACGTTGTTCTCCTACTTCACTAAAACCCCAAAAAGAACATCCCCTCAAACTGCAGATAAAGCTGAAGGAGCGAAGGAAAATAAGACACCTCCATCATCTGCTCAAGGAGTTACCTCGGAGAATGGAAAGTGTGGTGTATCTACCCCTTGTGGAATGTCAAACCACCAATCGAAGAAGAACACTGCTAACGCGACCTTCAAGTGTTTTGACATCGTTTGGGCCAAGATGGAAGGACATCCTTGGTGGCCAAGCATAATCTGCAAACATCCTACTCACGATAAATATTTGAAGGATAAGAAATATCATGTGCAGTTCTTCGGAGAGCCACCAAGCCGTGGGTGGGTCAACGTAAAGTAAGTGTATGTTTCAGTACTAGACAATATTGAGGCGCTTGTTTTAGCTCTAGACTGATTAGAGATGAAAAGATCATGGTTTAAGGTAATTGAATTATTAAGATTGTTCTATAGGAAAGAAAACSAAACATAAATATTGAACAAATATGTTTTTGCCAAACATTTGAATATACCGTAAAATAGAGTATATAAATACACAACTTGTAATTGTCTAAAACGATTACACTAATTATTGTATGAGTTAAATGGCTATAGGATTATTCRCAGCCTTCCATTCAAAATCACTGATTTATGATATTTGGAATCTCAGTTCAAAACRAGAGTTGCTTTTATGATTTTTTCTTTTGGATTTACTTTAAGTGTTATAATAGTTGCATGTGTCTTTTTCTGCTATCAGACAAGTGCAACCATTCATGAAAGGAGAAAAGAAAGGTAACGGTGATCCAGCCATTAAGAAAGCTGTCATTGAAGCAGATAGAGCCTTTCAAATGAATACAAGGGAGAGAGAAGAACTGATTAAGTGTGTACCTTCTGATGAAGAAGATGAGAATGATGATGGAGAGCAGATGGAGGTTGAAAGTGGTAAAGATGACACTGATGATGATGATAATGTGGACACTGGAAGGAAGGTAACTTGTAAATCTAATGTCTACAAATTATTATCAAGTATGGGAGCATAAAGTTTTTAGAAGGGGGAAGGGCTTGAGGAATTAGGGGAAGCCATCAAATATTTACATAGTAAAAAAAGGACGGTCATTTTAAGTTTTTCTGGTAATAATTATCAGTTTTTTGGAGATAAATTATTGAGCATGTCACAGCAAAAGTAAGAAAACTTGGAACAAAGTCAGTTTATTATTACTGGGATACCTGTGGTGTCACAGTCATAAAATGTCTTTTTTTTCTGTCTTCTCCATGACAAAATGGGAAAGTTGCGCAATAGTACCCAGGGGTCTTCAGGAACTTACCCAAGAGACCTTTGCGGGCATCTGCTATGGGGTTCACATCAATAGTGCAATCAATTATCATGTACCAAATGTCAATCAATGTCTATATGCTGTCAAGTGATTATGAGAGGGTGGAGCTAGCAGACCACATGGCAGAGGTTTATGTCTACGCATGCTCTATTTTGTTGACTGCTGTAATTCAAGGCAGCCGAACTAGAAATAATAATTTATCGATTTCGTAAACAAGGATTTCAAGGCAAGAAGATACCAATAGTTTCGAAGCGATTATTTCTAAGAATTTTCAATGAACTTCATGAGCAATAGCTTGTTTTGATTTACTCTTCATGATTCATCTACACGAGCAGTATTTTCTGCACGAATGRGCGAAGATCGGTAAGGAGAACCGGGTTTCAAAAGTCAGAATTTATGCGATAAGCGATATTGCAAATTCATTCAGCATGACAATATAGATATTCTTATAGCCTACATTTATGTATTTATGTTAACTTTTTTGGCTTCAAAGTCTACTCACAAAGGAACATGACTGTACATAGCAATATTTATTTTAAGATTCTATTTGATTTAAGAAGSAAAATAAATAATTTGCTAAGCGCATTCCAGGGTTTGATCTTTGCCKTTCGAAGCGTTATGATCTCCTTTAATTTTTCTTCAAAAAAATGGTGATTCATTAAAAAATATCGATAAATTATAAAATTATAAAATGTAAAGCTATTATGAGAGAGGTCTGGAGCAAATATTAGCCCATATTTACGTTTTAAATGAAGCATTTTGATTTTAAAGCGAGTAATACAATGCCCGTGCAAATGTGCACGTTTATGCTTGAACAACAACCTAATTACGTATGCCAAAATCCAGACTGGAACTGGAATTGCAGCTCCAAATTGAGTTATTTGTCAGTACTACTTTATTAGTATTTTTGGAAGCTCAACCAACTAAATACTCCATGCATGTTGAAACCAGGTCCTCCACTCCCCCCTTCCAGGTATCCCAGTCAACGCTGCCTACAGCATCTAGTTATGTTTTCAGTTAAGTATTGGAGGGTTCCTGTTTTCAGTTAGGCATTGGAGGGCTCCTGTTATCATTTAGGTATTGGGGCGCTCCTGTTATCATTTAGGTATTGGAGGGTTCCTGTTATCAGTTAGGTATTGGAGGGCTCCTGTTATCAGTTAGGTATCGAAGGGTAATGACAAAGCTTCGCCTTGAATTGGGGCTTACAAACTGGATACATGGAATTCCCAAGAAGTGGGAGGGTCTGAGAAAAGGGTACATTGTGTAGTTTCCAAAAAAATATCCATACCTCCCCCATGGAAGGGGAAATGGAATTTCCAAGGAGTGGGAGGGTCTTAGGAGGGCATATTGTGTAGTTCCAGATTTAGTAGTCATTGACGCAGCTGCTGAAGCATTTCTTATATTTTATTCCATTTTCAAGAATCAATTCAAAAGTCGACAGCCACAAAGAAAAGCAACCATGAAAGCCAGACATCAGAAAAAGAAACGTTTCATTATAGAATCAGGATCAGAAGACAGTGAATCAGGTAAGCATGAATATATATAAAATATTATCAACAGCTAGATTGTTGCTCTGGGCTGAAACATAAGGGATAATGGCAAAACTTGTTGCCTCTCATCAATGAACATGGATTTTCAAACTTGACATTGTGTGTGAATAGAGTTTATGGTTGGTTCTTTCTTAATGTTTTCGAGATTTTTTCTGGGTTTTCATCATCTTTCCCCTCGACCAAAAACCAGTATTAAATTCTGACTAGGTTCTCTTTAGGAGTATTGATGCTGTTAATTTCAATTTTACTATAAAGAGAAGGCTTAATAAATATTAACATTATAAAGGTGAACACTTCCAGTTGACGGCGAGAGGTACCTAATGTTTTTATGGCCAGGATAATTTTTTTATAACCAGGCATTATTTAGCTAGAAAGATCTAAGTATAGGGTTTTATTCATGGCTAGATTTAAAAGTCAATGTACAGTGGACAACCATTAACATGTAGAAGAACAGGTTTGACTACATGAGATAAGAAGGATTGAATAGCAGTATTCATAATCTATTACTTAAAAACTGAATTTTTAGTCTAGATTAAAATCCCTAGTTTTTTTTACAAAAAGATTATTCCTGATAGTCATTAGGAAAGGTTCTTACTTAAAATTGTCTTTCGTAAAGAAAATTATGTTGGGCTTCCTGTGTTAATGTTCCAGCTTTCTGCTTTTGAGGGAGGTAAAATGGCCTGCAGGTAACAGATGTTTATGTGCATGTTATACCAAAATGCTTTATATACAATGATTTTAAAGAGCTATGAACCAGATAAATACCTTCTGACTTATTTTGTCTGGTTATGTTACTAACTAATCATTCTATTTATCAATTCCTGCTGCTTTCATTTTGTTGTTTCATTTCAATATTTTGCCAACTTAGAGTAAATGTTCAACACTGGTTTCAAGAAAAATGTAGGCTTTTTATTTTCTTAATTTTCAAACTTGATTCAAGAAGTAATTGAGTTAATGCTGTTTTTTGCTACTTAAAGATATTTTTAAAAAACTACATAATTAATGACCTGTGTAATACGAGACAATGTGGAGACTGCAAATCAGTGTTCAGTCACTTATGAATCTTTCTCGGTTTTGACAGTTGATTACAATCTAGAATGTGCTTATACTAATTCTAATTTTAAGTCAATTTTTTTCTGATTATTATGTGTTTGTGTGTGCTAGTTTCCCCTCCCTCTAACGTGTGTTATAAAGATCCCTCTTAAACTGTATGGAAAATCTCTTCCTGTCTCATAATGACCAAATTAATATTGGTTAAATTTCTTAAACCATCTGCTTTTAAAACGTGTGAAAAAAGCAGGAAATTGTAGACATTTTCAATGCAAGTAGAAATGTTTCTTGTCAGACATGCAGTTAAGCTTTCTTACCATTCAACAGATGAGTTTGTACCTGAGAGTTCAGAGACAAGTGACGACGATAGTGTCAGCAGTGGAGTGGATGAAAAAGATGATGATGAATTTGATGAACCAATGTCAGAAGATGAAAAATCCAAGGTAATCCTACCTATTTAACTGAAAATTAATATTATTGGTTTACACCTACCAATATAACAGTATAGGTGAAAAACAGATTTCAGACATGCTTTAGGTGGAAGGGAGGGGAGGGTCGGTTGTGCTTTTGTTTTGTCATGTCCTATGTAAGAGTGGCTTGTGATGGTGGTATGGTACTAGTAGCTACATAGTGGACAACCTACAAACTAGCTGGCACGTACACATAGTCTACTTCTCAGTGACGTCACACATTTCCCTGAACTTCCTCTGGCCGACTACGTAGCTTGAGCTTTAAAGACCATTAAATGGAATGCTCGTATCTCGATCATCGTGGGAAAAAGATGCAGGTGGAGTAGAAAAACTAAATGGCATTTCTAATCATGATATTTTCTTGAAAATGTCTTCAAATATTGCTCGTAAGATGTGATGAAAATGCAAATTACAAATGTTGTAGAATCAAATTCCTGTTTGACACTAAATGTTAATGCCTGCTTTAGACAAATGTACTTCTACCTTCGTATTATCTTCACAGTATGTACAGTGTATATTGTTTCTCATATCTTGATTATCTTGATTGTAAGGTAGGGTTATAAATATGTTGTACTTTTAAGATTAATCAGCATAAATCATGTGAAAAATATCTTTAGAAGCGAATTTTGTTTAAAGATATATTATAATACTAATTAATTTTTTTATGCTGTCTGCCATCTCTAACATTTATTTTCAAAGCTGCTTTGGTGTTAATGATATTTTAACCACAATAATTGCAACCAATCTTTTGTCTTGTTTTACCACAGAGTTCTAGAAAGCGAAAGAGGGGTTCGTCATCAACATCTCGTCCAAAGAGTAAAAAGCTAATGAATGGCAACAGCTCTCCACATATGCCATGTATTAACAAAACCCCAGTTAAGCCAATGTCATTATCATCGTCACCTTCTGTTGTGTTGCCTGCATCACTAGCCAATAAGGTATCGAACTCTGCCACCAAGGCTGCCTCCTTGCTTTCCAAGTTCCAGATGACATCATCACCTTCAACATCAAGTGAGAAAAAGACTGATGAGGATAGTGGTAATGGATTTGCACATGAGAAGCTGGAATGGCTAAAAGAACAGAAAAGAAAGTATGCATCCTTATGATATGGCTGCATGCCAAACATGGTATGGTCATGGGCAGTGAAAACTAACCCTAAGGATGGTATTTTTTTTGTAGAGACAAACGTGGCAGGCCGATGACACACCCTGATTATGACCCTAAGACACTACTGGTATGTATATTGTCAATTATCCAGTTTTAATGGCTGGCATAGTGGTTTGCCTCTTACTGCTGTGGTCTGGGTTCGAGCGTTGGCCTAGACTTGATCAGATGTGATTCGAGTTTGTTTGAAGTGTAATTCTCTCCCCAGCCAAGAGGGTTTTTCTTCTGTTTCTCCTGTTTCATCTCCTTAAAAATCAACATGTGAGTGAAATGTTGTGTGTTGTAATATAGAATGTAGTGGTAGTGAGAGGGAACCTCACAGAAGAGCCCTGTAYGGAGTAGTGTTTATAAAATAATTTTTTAAATAGATTTTATTTTGTTCTTTGCTGATATTTATTTTGCTTATATTTTAGGTCCCTGCTTCATTCCTTTCATCTAAAGAAGTCACTCCAGTATGTACTTTGGCTACTTTTCCTTATTACATTCTAATACTACTACTAACAGATGCACATTATATGTTTTTCTAATTTTGTTTAATCAATTGTTATTGATAACAGGCTATGAAACAGTGGTGGACACTCAAGTCTGAAAATTTTGATACAGTTCTCTTTTTCAAGGTAACATGAATGAACAATAATGAATGAATAGGAAGTTTGGTAGCACATTTTTCAAGTGTCTAAATTTGCTTCACAGTCTTTACGTTTTTCAGTGAAGGACGTTTATGGGCTGCCTCACAGCTTATAATCACAGTAGTGATTACTAGTTAATGCGTCAACCCGTCTTTTGGCATGCAGGCAAATGGTTTGAATGATCAATAATGGGGACAGGGCAGGGCATCTGGTAGCAACAGTAATTAGGGAGGCAGAACAATGAATATTGAATTGGTGTATCTTAGTTTGTTTCAATGTTTCATAGACGTGTTTATTTACCATTACAGATTGGCAAATTTTATGAGCTCTACCATACTGATGCTGTCATTGGAGTCAAGGAACTTAATCTGATATACATGAAGGTACAATGCACTCCGCTATTGCTTGGCCTTTAACTCATTCTTTGCATTCCACTGCTGCAGCCAATGTTGATTTTCTTTCTTGTCAGGGTAACTTTGCACATGCAGGCTTCCCTGAGATAGCATATGACAGATACTCAGATACTCTAATTCAGAAGGGGTACAAGTAAGTACAGTACATTAGAGTAGGCCATTCTAGCAGGTGAGCCTTGATTGATCGAATGTAGTCAAACAATGGATCACAGTCATTCACAGTTGATCAGTCTTTCATTTGTGGTTGACTGCCGCTGTTAATCATAAAAGATTGAATACTTGTTTATAATCAATCGATTTTGACATCCTGTAGTACAGGAGATAAAGCATTCAAAGTTCAAGATACTGTATGTTGGGAAATAAATATAGTTGACTATCAATAGAGGGCTGGTGTAGTTTAGTTTTATTAGGTTGATGTTTTATGTTTTGTAGGGTTGCTAGAGTAGAACAAACAGAAACTCCTGAAATGATGAAGGAAAGATGTAGAAAAGGTAAGTTGATATAGTTGTAAAGCCTGGTGAGTCAAAAACCTACAGGTGTTGCAAGGCGTATGTCAATTGCCACATTTGACAACTTCCTTGTATTTTTATAGAACGTACAAATTCCAGGTATGATCAGGTGGTGAAGAGAGAGATTTGTGCTGTTACAACGAAAGGTCAGTTATGCTTGCTAATACAGGCGTAAATGAGATAATCTAGCTGTATTGCTAACATGGATATTTTATACAACACCAGGAACCAAGATGTACAGTTTTAGAGATGGTGACTGCACAGACACTGAAGCAGCTTATCTTTTAGCTATAAAAGAGAAGGTAAGCATCACACAGAAATGAGTCACATGGATATAATGTTATCTCTGAGTCCTTTTGATTCATTATAATCACAGGGATATGATGATACTGTTGGCGGAGGCAGTGTTTATGGAGTGTGTTTCCTTGACACATCGATTGGAAAGTTTCATGTGAGTATAATATATGATGAAATGGTTAAAGAATCTAAGAAATAATTTCTTATTATGTACCTACATTTTTTCAACATTAGTATGCCCATCACTTCAGGGTGAGGCTACTCAAAGTGTGTTGGTTAATGTGTATTTAATGTACTGAAACAAACATGTTTTGCTTTATTTTGTAGCTTGGTCAATTTGAAGATGATCGTCAAGCATCTCGTCTCAGGACACTCATTGCTTGTCACACACCAGTGCAGGTTTGAGTACCTTTACTTCCTTGGGGATCTGGTTATTTTTTATGGTAGGGAGGGATGGCTGCTGCAGGGGGGAGGGGTGGGGATGAGTGAATAATTGAGTGCTTCATAACACATAATAACCAGCTCTTCAACTATCATACAGACCCAGCATGTTAATAGGTATGTATTTCAATGTTGCTTGTAGGTGTTAATTCCAAGAGGTGGTCTAACAAGCAAGACACAACATGTTCTCTCACATGAACTCATGTCTACTATCACTGAACAATTAGCTCCAGGTAAACCATCATATCTTTAGATCTTGTAATCTGTAATGATTATGTACTTTATACTAATTTTCATTTTCTTGATTAATTTTAGGGAGTGAATTTTGGGATTCATCAAAAACCCTCAAATTCCTTGCAGAAGGAACTTTCTTCCAGGAAAATAAAATGGATGTTGAATCAGTGGTTAGTTATTGACTTTTTAGTTAAATTCTTTAATTTTTCTGTTGTTCGGGGTTAGCCTTGATTTTGTGTAGAATATTCACTGTTCCAGTATAGGACATTGGAATTTCAAAGTGTTTGTATTGTTGAAGGATATGCATTCTTCACATTTCCATTGATGAGGCTAACCCTGAGCAGTATTGTATGAATTTGAAAATGTTCTATTGAATCATTGTATTTCCATAGCTTGACATGCTCATATTTCTCTGCTTCAGGTTTGGCCTGACTTACTCAAAGAAATGACAAGTGGTGGTATGTGTAAAAAGGTTTTAACAAGCCTTTAGTTGTCATGTGCCAATCAATATAAATGACATTTCCTTTTCATTTACAAAGATGATGTTGATGCATATTGTATCCTCCAGATCCACACTGTCTGACAGCTGCTGATGATTATGAGTTGGCCATCAGTGCTCTTGGTTCTGTTGTATGGTAAGTTAGTTTATCAGGTCCTGTTCAAATAATTAATAAATAATATCTGGTAATATGATCTGTTTACACTAGGTATTTAAAAAGATGTTTAATAGAGGAAGAGCTACTCTCCATGGGAAAGTTTGAGGTAAATTCAATCATCAAAGCTTAAGAAGATTGCTGTGAATGATTTGATTGATAATTGTTAGAGATATCGGGGGAATGTCTATTTTACCACCATACGATACGCTTGTTAGAGCTAGTTGACAAATGTTCACTCGTATCTSTTTCAAGTTTAATTCGTGGATCAAGTTCAAACTGGTTCAAGCTAGTACAATGTTCGCTAAAATGTAACAATAATTCCTAAATTAGCCTACATTTTTGGGGAAATATTTACACTTAAACAGTATATATGTTTAGAATTTATTGTACTTACATCTGGTGGCGAATCACGCATCTAAGTTAGTCTTCATGGCAAAATTATCGTTGGCTCGTAAGCACGTNCAAATGTTCACTCGTATCTGTTTCAAGTTTAATTCGTGGATCAAGTTCAAACTGGTTCAAGCTAGTACAAGGTTCGCTAAAATGTAACAATAATTCCTAAATTAGCCTACATTTTTGGGGAAATATTTACACTTAAACAGTATATATGTTTGGAATTTATTGTACTTACATCTGGTGGCGAATCACGCATCTAAGTTAGTCTTCATGGCAAAATTATCGTTGGCTCGTAAGCACGTGCATGTCGTTTCATTAAGAATTAAGCGAGTGTCTTTTATTGCATAAGGCTAGATCAAGTTTCATTGCTATGTTTAATCATTAATTTCTGGTAAATCATGGGGTCAAGGAAATCGTAAGAAACAAACAAAACGAATAAATGTATGTAAAAGTTAACTATTCTCAACAATAATTTTAATGTATAATGTATTGTACTTTGTATACAGAAATACCAGCCACTTGACTGCATGCAAGACTACAATAAAAATGAAGTCAAGTTTGCAGAAGGAAGACAGCACTTGGTATGTTGCATGTTAATTTATTTGTTTTGTGTTAATGGTGATAAACAAAACAGCATAGGCCCAGTATTCTGACAGGATGATTCAGTTATACTGTATGTCACTATATGATATTTCCTACCACAGTGGACTAATTGGGGTCCTGATATAGAGCAGGATATGTAAAAAGCACATGTATGATAGGCATATGCAGTGCCGTGATAATGCCATAATGTAGCAACAATTGGGTTGGGGTTGCTTGTTGTCAATTCCCTGCTGTCTGTTATGATGGAATGTCTTTCTTAATCCCTTCTTACCATATCTATCATTGATCAATTAATAGATCCTGGATGATGTGACCCTGTCCAATCTAGATATTCTCCCCTGTGGCCCTGATACAAGTACTGAGGGTACTCTGCTAGACAGATTGGACTATTGCTCTACTGCATTTGGTAAGTCTTTCCTACCTATACTATACAATGTTTCTCTTCTGACTATATAAATCATTTATTGTTCAATGAATCATATTTCTTGTTGATGCAGGAAAAAGATTGTTCAAGCAATGGCTGTGTGCTCCTCTTTGTAACCCCTCAGCCATCAATGACAGGTAATCAATCTAGGGTCCCAATCTAGTGTATATTGTGGACTTGTGATGGTGGTGCATTTGTATATTATGTTAGATTAATGTTATAATAGATTACATTATATCACAGATGGAAGTGATGTATAATATTATTCATCTCTGACTATTAATATATTGTCAGACTGAATGCTGTTGAGGATTTAATGACCATGCCTGCTGCTATGGCAGATGTCAAAGATATTTTGAAGACATTACCTGACCTGGAACGACTGCTAAGAAAGTAAGGATATAATACTAACTTAGACACAACACATTTCAATCAGAACTTTTTGTATAATCCATATGGATAAAAAAAACACATAGTTTCTGTTGTTTGTCCTATGATTTGCAGGATCCATAGTATGGGGTCACACTCACGAGCACATAACCATCCTGATGGTAGAGCTATACTGTATAATGAAGACACTTACAGGTACGATATTAATAGTGTTAATCCAACAAGTTGACAAATACTTGTCATTTCTGTTGGAGATGATCAGTTTAAACCTTTGATATTATTGAAACCTGAAATAACCTCTGGATTGATCTTTTTCAGCAAACGCAAGATCTCAGATTTTCTAAGTACTTTAGAAGGGTTTTCTAATGCCTGTTCTATAGTAAGTGTGTTTAAAGACTCTGCAGAAAACTTCAAGTAAGTCGTCATGCAACATTATTGCTGTGCTCAAAGCAAGTTTCTTYGTTATAAAGACTGCAGGTTTATTTTTGTCAAATTATTTGCTTCAGGTCAAAGATTTTGTGCCAGGTGGTTTGTTATGAGGAAACAAAAGGCAAAGGAAGATTTCCACATCTGGAAAATAATCTAAAATTTTTCAAGGTAAATTCTGGCATAAGGGTTTTAATGGGTTTTAATGTATATAAAATATTTAATGTATGCTGTGTATCTATTTTACAGAATGCTTTTGACCATGCCAAGGCCAAAAAAGATGGTGTTATTGTTCCTAAACCAGGTAATAAAGATTCCTTTGGCTCCTATTGCTCAAGCAAGCATTCTTACTATTGATAGTAAGCCACCACCACCCGGTTAGCTCATTTGGTAAGAGTGTCGGTCTGTCGTGCTGGAGGTTGTGGTTCAAGCCTATGCAGGACCAACACTCAGGGTCTTAAAAAATCTGAGGAGAAGGTGCTGCCTTTGTAATAATATCTGCAAATGGTTAGACCTTCAAGTCTGTTAGACTTGAAGTCTTCTCGGATAAGGACATTAAACCACAGGCCCTTCTCCCAACTCTTCCTAACCTGTAGTATAATGGGGGACATAAAAGAACCTGTTGAATTATTAGTGTATGAGTAGGGGATTGTCTCCCAGTTCAACAGCCTTTCCAAGTCTGGAGGCATAACACTAATGTACTAGCAAATCACTCATGATTGTAAGCCGCATGGCTGCTAAATAGCAGCACAATATGCAGCCCAGTAAAGCTCATTGAGACGTTGTATAAATGTGCTATATAAGAACCTCCTATTATTATTATAATTGTGCTGTAATGTTACAGGGGTAAATGAACCTTATGATGAAGCATTGGATGACATCAAAGCTGAAAAGAGTTGGTTTGACCAGTATCTTGATAAACAACGCAAAAGACTCAACTGCAGAGTAAGTAGATCTGATGTTCTTGAAATAATAGTATGTTGTCTTTCCTATATTGGTAGGGTGTCAGTAGGATGTTGTTGGATTATCAGTAGGGTGTTGTTGGATTATCAGTAGGGTGTTAGTAGGGTGATCAGTAGAGTTTTGGTTGGGTATCAGTAGGGTGTTGGTTGGGTGTCAGTAGGGTGTTGGTTG